GGCATCCATGCAGTCCTCAGCCTAACAAATCCTTGGCTCACATAAATACTTGTGACATGCTGTAATTAACTAGTTACTCCTCTCAAAATGAATAATAATGCAATTATTTGCCAAAGGCAGTGAAGGAGGGATGGTTTCTGTTTTAAAAATGTCTGCCTTTCATTTCTGTAGTAAGAAAAAAACCCACAAACCCTGGATTAATTTACATAATTATGAAAATTATGTAAATTAATCCAGGGTGACCTGCAATCTCACCATCACACTATATGATAATTCTATCACATTTTTATTAGAGCCTTATATTTTTTAGTGGTTTGAAGTAGCAATAAAAGTCACTGCCATGTTTAAATTATATTGGTTTCCCAAAACTGCACCCAAATGCCACAAACTATAAATGATAGCCTGGCAAACATCTTTTCACAATTGGAGCTCAATGTCATTGAAGCCACTAAGGGCTAGTGCTGTTTCCTTTGTGTAGACACAAATAAAAGGAGGAAGGTGAACTTTAGTTCTTCAAGGGCCTTCTTCTCCTTCCGTAGGGAGTCCATGTGCCAAGTAGCACAAAGTTAGGTGAGAGTTTATATGAACATAGGACTGGTTCTCTCTCTTGTGTGTTAATGTCTAGAACAATGACTATTTTCTTTAACTCCCACCAGCCCATCCTGTCATTCTGAACTCAGTAATTAATTCAACAAGCATCCATTGAAAGCTTGCTATGACATGTTGTACTAGGTACCAAGAAATCAATGGTGAAAAGACATACTGCCTTTGAGAAGGTTGCAGAAAAGTAAAGCTATAAACTAGTAAATAGGCACATTAACAATGCAGTAAATGCCAGTAAGAGCTCACTTTCCACATACACACACACACACACTAATTCCTTTACTCATATAAACACACATAACCCCTCTGTCCCTTGAATATGGATTTCTAAAAAATCTAGACTCTTTAAAAGTTCTGAAGCAGAGACTTGGAAAGTTTAATGCTAAAACTTTCCAATTTTGTAATTTCAGTAGAGTCCGTTTGGGTGTGTGTTTTTGTGTATGCATGATCTGTCTAAATTTGTATTTTTTACATGCAGCCAACTTTATATAAAGTTTTGTTAAGAATAAAATATCCTGAACAATTGATGCCTTAAGTTGTCAGATTAGTTGTTTATTCTGACACCAGATATTAGCTCAGAATATCTTAAAATGAGTATTCACTGATACATCACTATGATATGAAAAAGCCTGGATCACTTGTTTGGAAAGAGAAACTAAAAGTCAATGTGTTTTAAAATCATAAAAATCATGACACATTTTCCAAGAGTAGACATAACTTTGTGTGTGTGTGTTTTTCAAATCCTATTCATCCAAATAGTCCTCTAATTAGTTAATAGTAGGAATTTGGGTTTGTCTTGTTTTTTGTTGTTCTGAAGAGTATGTAGAACAGTGCAGGCTCTGGCATCAGACTGACTATATTTGAAACTGGGTTCTTCCTGTACAATTTGTGTGACTTCTCCAAGCCTCAGTTTTCTTATCTGTAAGATGGAGGTAGTAATAGTAGCTACCTCAAAGAGATAGAAGGGTAAAAGGAGTAATAACGTATAAAGCATATATCACTGGGACAGTCACTGCCATTAAGAAAGTTAATATTATCATTATCCCCAAATTCAGTTGAATATTCATTTGAACTCAACAAGGGTACTTAATATTTGCCAAGAAAATTATTTAGCTACCCTGTTTCTGTTTTCATGGCAGTATAATGATGACAATTTATATTAATTTTATTCTTTCTTTAGGAATATAAAATAATGTTACTATATTCATTTATTTCATGTGTTCTTCTACTGACCGTGTAGTTATTGGAAGTTTAGTATATCAAGATATTAAGTGGAGCAGGGAACAAAAAATAATTTAGCCACTACCAATAGAGGTCAAGGTGAACTGAGAGTTTCAGAACATGACCCTGGAATCTTGCATGGTTTTATAACTAAGTAAGCTTAATAAACTTAGATATAAAAATTAATAGTAAATAGTGATCATATAATCAGAGTCCCTTGGTCTTACATGAACATTAGAAATGGTAGGTCCTTGGTAAGCCAGTAACAGCATCTATCTTTGCCCAAATTACCTAGTTTTCAAGCCATTTCAGCAAATCATTGAATCTTCTTCCACTTACTTGAAGAAAGAAAAATATTCTCCATAGACTTCCAGTTTCCAATGGTTGATGAAATTCATAAGCAAAAGTATTTTATTATACTCTTGAATTTATTTGATATATGAAAGGCCATAGAGGTAGGAGAAAGATGGAGACATAGCAATAGTATAGAGCAAAGAAAAAGGCAAATATAACTCATGCTTTTATGCTTATACCCAGTAAAACTGTACCTTACTTTCACCTCAAGGAATCAAGTTACTCTTTTTGAGATGAGAAGAAAGATGCCAAATGTCTATACATTTTTCTTCGCCATTCCCAAAAGACTTAATTTGAAGCAGCAAGAGTCAGGAATTTCCAAAGGGAAAACAAACATGAAAGGAGGCCCTGAATGAGCAATGCTAGGAAATGAAAGGGAAAAATATGTCAGCCTCAGAAAATATGTGAAACTAAAATCAGATCAAACTAAAAAAGGAAAATATAGCCAGTTGGAAAAGAGATTTTTTATAAGATATCCTTAACAATTATGATAATTTGGTGCTATGGCTTAAGTGAAATTTTCACCAAAACATTGTATCTAGCCAATTCATTTGAGCCAAATTTTCTCTTTCCATCTTTATTCTTAGTTCACCATTTTATTATAAAATCAAATAGGTTTCTGAACCGCTAGTCATTTTTTTGTCAATATTATGTATGGTGCACATCTCTGAATTTTGGGGGGCTTAATTTTAAGATACCTGCAAAGCCCTTGATATCTTACATAATCTACTGATAGAAGAGAGAACATACCTTTCTCTCTGTTCTTCTGCTGCTAACAGATAATTATTTCTGTGTCTTTCATGGAGATAGTCCATAGAGTCTTACACAACAGTCAANCTAACAGATAATTATTTCTGTGTCTTTCATGGAGATAGTCCATAGAGTCTTATACAACAGTCAAAACCTAAACTGATTTGAAGATAAATGGAACCACTTTTTAAAAAATACAAATGTCAGTCTTTATTTTCTGCCAATGGTTAAGGAAAACAAGTCTGATGTACAAAGTCACTTCTCCAGACCCACTGTGAAAAAGGCCAAAAGCTCTTAGAACATGTAGGCAGCTCCTGATCTCAGATTTTTCAGGTGCCAAGAATCAGCCAAGGTAGCAATGTTGTGATCCAATAGCTGTTGTCACATGGCAACATCACAGCTAAAGTGGGAACACCACTCCGCAATGACTTGAGCATGTAGAGATGGTTTCCGTCTGTCCTAGCTATCTGTTCCTAAACAGGTGAAAGCAAAAATAACCAAGGGTTCCTAAAGCAATTCTCTTTAACAAAACAAAACAAAACAAAAAAGAAGTGCATTCGCACATTTTCTGCCGGCCTATTTAGCAGAGATCTAAATAATTCTGATACAGATCGTCTAAAGGACTACACTCTGAGAAGCACTGTTGTGTAGACAAACCCTCTCTCACTCAATCAACAAACAGATCTAGCAGCGATTCCCAGGAAGTGAGACTGATGTCAGGCTTGCTGCCTGAGAATACAGAATTCTAGGTTCCACCCCCCCGAAGCTTGCCTATTAATCAGTATATTTTAACGTTTTTCAGAAAATTCTAATACACACTCCATGGCAAGAGGAAAGGGCTGTGTTTTACTTTAGCATATCCGTAGAGGGTCCTCATTCCACCATTTACTAGGTCTATGAGCTTAAATGATACCATTGGTCTGTAAAATGACTGTTGTGTTAATTAAATAAAGCCAGGCATGTTAAGAACCCAGCAAGTAGTAGGTTACTTGTTATTGTTTTAATTATAGTATATGCCAGCTCTAAGGAAGATATACAGAAGTAAAACGTGTGGTTCACCACTTTGAGAAGCATGTCATCTATTTAGAAATATAACTATTAATAAAAATTTTAAGTATGAGTCCACATTCTAAGAGAGTAAACATTTGCAGACAAAAAACAACATGCTATTCTGAGTAACAAAATACATTGTAAAATACAGAGAGTTATAAGAACATGGAAAGATCATTAAAATTTTTCTTTAAAATATCTAATTCTTCTAATTCAGGTGACCCAATTCCCATTAATTCACCACACTTTTATCTATATTAAGAAACATACTAAAATCACGAGTGATAATCAACTTATTGTTTAAAACCGAAGTAGAAAAAGAGTGGGATGTCTGGGGAAGGGGTGTGGAATAGGCCTCAAGGGGCTCATGAAACCCCTAAAATACTATGCAGAGTTGTTTGTATGAATATGTGTATTTCTGAGGAGAGATCCATACCTTTCACTTGATTCTCAAAGGCTTTGGTGCCCCCTGAAATGTTAAGGATCACTGAAGATTCTGGTTTAGCACATTTTCTGTGCATCTTCGTGTATGCTGAGGAAATTTAACTTCTGATTACATTCCAAATAGTCTCCTTGTTTACTTTTGGTTAAATATCATCTGCATCATTTTCCTCAGGCTTTCACCATTCAAATATCCCGAGAAAGAACTAACATAGTAAGATTGCACTTAAGGAGATTGCCAAGCAGAGTTTCATGGCTACTTCAGCCTATTCAGATTCTGCGGGCGTCAGCATGGAAGCTTATGTGCGCACCTTATAGTTATAGTGGCAAAGATTAACTGATGATTATTTTCTGAGTTTTCCCTTTTTAGTTTTTATCCATTGCTCAGTTGTTTGAATTATTTTTTAGTTCCCTGCCTTTTCATATCAGGTAGAAAAGTGAAGGAACCTCCCTGGAAGGAAACAATTCAGTTTTGCCAACTTGCTATTTGCCAACCTAGCAATTCCTCCACTTTGTGTTTTATTAATAATGTGGTAACAACACTATTGATGTGACATGTCTTTATTTCTGTCTTTCTTTAGGTGTGTGTGCAACATTGACTGTTCTCAAACCAACTTCAACCCCCTCTGTGCTTCTGATGGGAAATCTTATGATAATGCGTGTCAGATCAAAGAAGCGTCGTGTCAGAAACAGGAGAAAATTGAAGTCATGTCGTTGGGTCGATGTCAAGGTAATGTTCATGCTCAAAATCATTTCAAAGAATGTTTTTAGTCTTTGTGTAGAAATGAAAAGTGAAGATAACTTCTTATTAGGCAGCTGTTTCATTTCCGAAAGGCAGTTCTGATTTATAATGGATACTCATGTCTACTGTAGCATTCGTGTTGATTATAAAAGTTTGAGGACAACGGTCCCTATCTTTTTCTATATAATGGGACTGTATCTTCACAATGCCATGAACACAAAAGCTAATATTTGGAAGATAACAGACATTCTCTTTGCAGAGGAAAAAAAGAAAGTCAAAGTCATTTTAGCAAAGAATCTAAGGATTTATTAGACAACCTTGAAATTAAATGTATTGATTCAATAGAAATGTTTCAAGTACATTTTTTAAAGCAAGATGTACCAAAATGTTCTATTTTGCTACTCGTTCCAAAGCATTTTGTTGATTTTTTACTTGTTATTTTTTACCCAATTTATCTTAGTTATAATTATAACCTTCTCCTTGTTCAAAACTTTAGAAAATTTGTATCATTCTATTATCCACTCTCAAACTGAAATTGACATTGTAAATCTGTCTTTGTATAAAGGTTGCTTAGAAGTATGATTGTGAAAATACCTTAATTGCAATGAAAATACTGTTGGGGGATAATATAAATTTGACATTAGATATTAAAAAATAGTTAATCAACCTTTATTGTGAATTTTTACCACAGATAACACAACTACAACTACTAAATCTGAAGATGGACATTATGCAAGAACAGATTATGCAGGTACATAATATTTTCTACTACACAATATGAGCACTCTTATAAAATAGTCCTGAGGATTCGCTGCTTACCATTGATCCTGAGTTGAACCGTGCGATATTTCTGACATGTGCTAACTCTTCTCTTGCTTTGTTCATTCTTTCAATAGGCAAGAGTGAATTTTTTGAAGTAAATAAGACACATTTATTTTTTGCCAGAGTTAAAGCAATTGTCAAAAATGTCACTAAGATATAATTAACTTGTTTTGACAGTGCAAACGGTACAAATGACAAAACATTTATCAAATTAATGGGCATCAGTGGAAATTAATGCAGTTTTTGGCAGTATATTGTAATGAATGCAAATGTTCGGGTTTGAATTTTCATAAAAGTCAACAATAAAAATGTTTGCTAGTGTCTAAGAAAGCTGGAAATAAAGGACAGCTATAAATAGTAATACAGGCTGTCTCTGTTTAGATGGGAATTTAAAAAGAAGTGTGTAATTTATTTTAAAAATTAATGAATTTCTTTAATTTACTTAGAAACTAAAATGTACCTTCCGACACATTCAAAATTACAAAGCATTTTATGTAAAAATGTAAATTTTATTTAGCAATTATAGATTATTTTGAGGAATAATTCTACCTAATAATTTTCCTAGGGTATAAAATAATTTATAGGTATGCAAATGGGAACTTCACCGACCCTGGAATTTTATACAAGACTCAGGATAAAAATATATAAAAATGCAATCATTAAAGTTGATTGCAATACCTGGGGTTTTTAAAAACAGTTTTCCATTTAGCTATTAAGCATTTGTAACTAGATTTATGGCTAATATTCAATCAAAAATAATTGCTTCTTTTTTTATGATTTGTAAAAGCTTTATTATACCTTATAAGGATACTGTGAAGAACTGATGAAAGAAAGTGTTTTCTAATTTGCTTTGAAAACTATACAAAGGCAAAGTAGATTTTTATAATTTTTTTCACTTTATTTTTATTGTTGACACTATTACAGACGTCCCCTTATCTTTCAAAATATGTGCTACCACAATTCTTTTTGAAATTGCATTTCCTCTAACAATATCTCTGATGTTATTTATATACAAAGTAAATCTTGATGAAATTGAAAAAATTGGTCAATCAGATACTTATAGATACTTCAGACCTCTTAGAATTTGGAGATATTAAAAGGATTCTTTTTTAATTTTTTTTATTTTTATCTTAATGTTTTTGAACATGTAAATAAAACTTTTCATGTGATGGAAACCTAGAATTATCATAAGCAATGATACATGGAAAAACATTAGTTCTACTATTGTATAGCTGTTCCCAAAGTGTCCAGGAGAGATATTAACAGGGGTTCCTTGAAAAGAACAGTTCATAGTCAATTCTTTGGGGAGGAGCACAGATAAATAAATGAATTTTTCACCCAGTACTTCTCCCAGCTCCTATGTGCACTATAAAAATTTTTAAGAGATATACATCTTTTATTATTTATTTATTCATTTTTTTGTTATGGGAATTTATAATCAGCACAAAATGCACACAAATGTAGTCTGGATAGTATAACGAATCCACATGTGCTCATCACTCAAACTCAGTAACATCAACCCACTGGCTGACCTACCCTTAGTCCCACCCTTATCCTTTCCTCCCACTTGCAAAATGTGTGGAAATGAATGCCAGAAGCTGTGTCATTTCATTCACATATACTTGAACTTGCATCTTTAAAAGATCAACCCTTTTTTAAACAATAGTACAATGTTATTATCACATCCAAAATAATTATGAATACATCTTTATATTACATAGCTTTTCTCAGACTTATTTGATGAATAACACAGCTTTTGTGTGTGGCAAGTTTTACAGTACTAGTGTTCCCAAGAATGCACTTTGATATGCTGATCTACAGGAAAATATTAAAAGTAATAATAGATAATGGTAGAAAATTAAGTTCTGAAGTTAATAATTCATATTTTATATTTTAAATGAAATCAAATTTAAATTCTATAGCCTTATTATATACAGTAACTATATCTTGATAGTGTTATAAGCCACTACCTGGCACATTTAATTTTACTGTAGCCTAAATTATTTCTAAATTTCATGAGGATCTTATTTCCATTCAAGGAGTAGCTTATTAACTGTGTTTAAAATACTTTTATACATGTTTTGAAAACTAATTCATTTGGAAAAAATCTTCAAAAATTTAACATTCTATGAATATTTCTCCATTGCACCATCTATCATTGGACTCATAGGAAAATCAAACCTCTTCCTGAGAATTCTGTCCCTGAAACAAAGAACTCTTCTTGTTGATTACTGTCAATCTGAAAATATATGTTTTGGGGGTTAAATTTTTATCTCCCCAAAATTCATATTTGAGTTTGGTTTCAAACAATGATTGTCAGGGCCAATGCTTTGAATTGACATCATTTTCTATCTTATCACTTTATTGAATATGAAAAGGAAAGAGAATTTGTTTTTAAATACATGTAAATGAAAACTATTCAGTGTCCTTCAGAGTGTTCTAGTTTGACATCAGATTTATGTAGTAAACCCCAAAGAAAAACTTTTAAGACAAGTAAAGTTTGAAAACACATACACTTGTTGAAATCCAAATTTAAGACAGGAACGAAGATAATGTCAATTGAAGCTTGCAGTTCCTAATTAAGCATCGATTGCATACTTAACAATTTTCCTTGAATTTAATTTAGATGCCTTGATCTTTCTTGATGATCTTATTAAATTACAATGCATACCCTTTTTAGACATGATTGAAATAATAGTCATGTTCCTCAACATTTCCAAGCTTCCAACAGGATTTGCATTTTCCTGAATTTCGGAATGCAAACTTTGGAAAAATTAAAAGGAATCAACTGGAGATTCAGTATGTTGCATCCTCTTAATTTCTTTCTTTTTTTTCTTTGATGTTTCTACTGAAATGTGGGTGCTCACTAATTCCAAATAATTTTTCTAAAACCTAGAATAAGAGTAAGTTACATAAGGCCTAAAATAAGTGACCATGATTTTACAACCCATCGGTTAAACAAAAAACACTTGGAGGTTAGAACTAACTGAGAAAGCACTAAAGAGAGAACAGCACGTCCTCTTAATTTCTGTTTCACATGCTCAAAACTCCCCAAGGAGGAAAAACAGGAACTGTGTGACTCACATTCCTAGAAGTTTGCTGTGTGCTCACAGCTAATTTAATGTCAGTCACTTCCCTTGTTAGACAAAACATTCATGAACTCTCCCACCAGAGGGAAGTACTGATCTTAACACATTCTCACTGTTTCCTTATATGTCTTTAATACCAGAGGTTAAAAACTGTTTCCAATACCCTCCACACAATTTTTTCCTTTGAGCCTAGCTTAAAAAGCTATTAATATAAGAGCACACGTTTCTGATTACAAAAATGCAAATATACCTTAAAGAAAGTCTAACTCTTAAATATGCTTTTATTTTTAATATCATTTAAAAGAAAGAGACTCCAATAGGGACCACTAAGAATACCAGAATACCAGGTGGATTAGAGCTGTGAATCCCATGGTCCTCACAGGCACTTAGCTGCAGCTGACACCAGGAAAACAAAGAATTTGCCAGATCATCCCTGCCAGCATTCCTTTTTGGTTGTGTCTGACTTGGGTCTCTATCCTGCCCTCTTTCCTTTAATGAAACCCACGGTATTAGTGAGTCCTGAATCAAGAGCTTTGGATCTCGTTGTTTCAAGGCAGAGGGACAGGATCCCTGTCTGAGAAGCTAAACAGGCTTCACGGAATGTTACTCTCCCTTCATCAGTCTAAAATTTGGGCTTAGATTTAGATCTTTCTCTTCACTTACAGAAAGGTTTAGAGAACACAATTTTTAAAAACCACAAAGCTAGGGCTTTTAGGGATTGTCATTGTTAATATTAAACTTTCTTTCCAGAAGTTTTGAAATGACAAATGTTTTACATCTCTTGAAATTGGCAACATTTACATATATATATATATATATATATATATACACACACACACACACCCTCATGCTTTGAAATGAAAAAATAAATAAATAAATGAAGTCAACTGTTTTGTTTTCCATCATCTGTTATAAGTATTTTCTGATTTTGTTGCTTTTCTGCCTAAAAGTCTGCTCATGCTTCAGAAAAAGTTATTAAATATTTTCCAGTGCAAATGTACTTAATTTCATAAGTTAGATGAAGAAATAATGTGAGGCTACATTATTTTGTCTTTTATCACTTAGAAAATAAAATGTATTTTCTTTTATGACATTCTGTATCAGTTTTCAAAAGGATTTTGAGTGGCTTATAATTAAAACATACTCAATAAGATTGTTTAAAGAGAAACCAAAAACATAAAACCAGAACTGTTGAGGAAAATAAATATATCAGCAACATAGACTATTGACAGCTACTGCATTTAGCCCTAAGCTTTCTTGCAACCAGTGTAATGGCTGAATCAATTTATTCTGAAAATATTTACAGAGTCCCTGCTAGGCGCACTCCACTGTCCTAGGCTTCACAAAGGTGAACCCATCAACCTAGGTCTCTGCTAAAATGGAACTTAGGTTTCCATTGTCCAATAAAATTAAATAATTGGTTCAGAGGCCAAAGACAAAGTTTCTCTAGAGCTAAATTCTAAAAGAAATATTCAACATAGATGGTTTAATAAGATATTGCTAGAAAACATAGAAAGGATATCTCCAACAGTGATTTTTATAAAATATACTAGGAAGCTCTTCATATGGCTGGAGATTTTTAAATCAATGTTTGATAACACTTTAGAGCATAGCATTAAATATGTATAACTCAGTGATAGTGTTTCCCTGGTGGACTAAAGAAATGAGTTACATTTATGTATATTTCCATATTGGAAAAAACAAATAAATAAGAATACTGAGGGAAAAGGCTGTGAGGAAGAGCTTCTGTTCCTCATACATCTGCAGGTTCAACAGGAACTGGATAAAAGAACAATTAAAAGCCTAAGTAAGGATAAAAATTATGTTAGATTACAGTATG